GGAGGGATCATACGAAAACGTATACATACAATCGTAATGCTACTACAAGCAATAATAGGAACCACACGCATATGAATACTCATGGTGAGGCAAATAATGATGATGCGCGTGATAATGATGCTAATGTTGTTAGTAGTGTTACTTTTATAACGACAACGACTACGAATCTGACTGATAGTTATAGCAATAGGAATACGAATTGTAATCATAATACTTATGAGACGAGTAAGAAGGATATCGCTGACAATATTACTACTCGTACGAATCATACGAGTAATACTCATATTACTGAAGGTACGAACAATATTACAAATAATAATAATAGGAATCACAATACGAATAATAGTAACAATAATAATAATGATAATAGTGCTAATAATAACAATGATGATGATAGTACTACTAAGACTAATATTACTAACAATCACTGTAATATTAATAGTACTAATAACAACGCCAGAAGAAGAGGCGGAGGAGGGGAAGGGGGAGGGGGATGGTGGAAGGGGGAAGGGGAGGGGAAGGGGGAGGAGGAGGAAGAAGAGGAGGAAGAGGAGGAGGAGGAAGAGGGGGAGGAAGAGGCGGAGGAGGAGGAGGTGGAGGTGGAGGCGGAGGAGGAGGAGGAGGAGGAGGAGGAGGAGGAGGAGGAAGAGGAGCAGCAGGAGGAGGAGGCGGAGGAGGGAGGAGGGAGGAGGGGGGACGAGCGAGCAGGAGGAGGGAGGAGCAGGAAGAGCAGACGCAGGTGGCGCAGGGGGAGCAGCCCGAGATGGGTGGCGGCAGCGGGCCCTCGCGCGGCCCGCAGAGATGGGCGGCCGCGCGGCAGAGGTCAAGCGAGCGGCGGACGCCGAGCACGCGGAGGGCGAGGCGCGATTTCGGGCGGCAGTGCTGCCGCCGTCGCCCCCGCCCCGCCGCTCGTCTCGGGGGGGCCCCGAGATCAGGCGCCCCGATAAACTTGGAGCGGGCGGTTTCTCATTGTGTTCGGCCTCTGGGGGCCCTCGCCCCCGGGAGTGTGAAGAACGGCCCAGGACGGAGAACCGGCCCTGGGGAAGTGGCCCGGAGTTGGTGCAGCGGGGTGGCGGGGGCCCCTGGGCACCAAGACGTCTGCAGGCCCGACGTGTGGCGACAGAGCGCCCGCCATCCAGACCCGCCGTGCAGCAGCTGAGCACAAGCCTTGCTTTGGCTTGGACATGGCGCGTTTGTCTCCGCTGCGGACACCCCCCAGACATCCACGGGACCAGCGGGTCGGGACGGGCCTCGGGAGGGGTCTTGGGCCCGATCTTGAGCGGGTGTGAGCCGGGCGGGGGAGCGGGGCAGGGGAGGGAGCAGGGGGAGGTCCGAGCCCGAGGGCCTCTTGGGAGCAGCGTGCCACGCTGGCCTCCCCCGCGAGGCGTCGGCGGCCCTCGGTCCAGGAATGGCGCGGTGCAGGGCTGCGCTTCTCCGAAAGCCAGAGACGCAGCCCTCCTCGCGCTGCGAAACAAACGCGACGGGCGGTTTTTCACTGTTTTCAGCCTCCGGGGGCCCTCACCGTCCCCCGGGACCGTCAAACAACGATTCAGGATGAAAATCTGGTTCCGGGGAAGGGGTCCAAATCTCTGGGGGTCGACGCTGTGAAACAAATCAAGACGCCGGGGGTCTGGGGAGCTGTCCATGGGTCCGATTTCGTTCTGATGTCGTCTTGTTTCGGCAAAGGCGGAAGGACGACGGAACGGAGGAGACCGAAGACAAGACGCACACGGGAAGCACTGATTCGCTAGCGTGAAATCGGGCATGCCCTTTCCAGTTGGCATATTCCAAACTAGTGGAACAATGTCAGGGGGAGAATGTCCGATTATCTTTTGGCAGCTATTGAATAAGTTTTGGATTGTTTTGAATGTTTCCTCCAAAATCCGCCTGTAGGAGGACAGGCACGCCCTAACGCTAGCGCCATACTGTCAACCGCCGCGGCGTGCTGCGTGGGGCGCGGGGCGCGATGGGGGGCTGTCCCGGTGGGGTGCGGTATTTTCGGGGCGGGCGCCGTTCTCTCCCAGGCTTAGGTCGGGCGTGTCCTCGTGCAGGCGGATTTTGGACGGAAAGTGCAACATATCCAGAGCATATTCAACGAATATTCAAACATACTCGACAAATCGTCCTCGGACTTTTGTGACTATTTTTGAGCACTCCTCTTGCAGAGGAAGATACCCGACTTAATAGCGGGAGGGAGGCCGCGGCCAGCAGCGGGAGCAGAGGCGGAGGGGGCAGAGGGCGAGGAGGAGGGCTTGTTTTGATTCTTTCGATTCGATTCCGATTCCAATTCGATTCGTTTTCGGATTCCGATGTTCGGTGGTGGCACAGAGGGGGATGAAGACTAGGGGGACTGGATATCATGGCGTAGGCCATGATATTTCCTCAGATTTCATGGCGCCTCTTCGCATTTCAATGCGTCCCCGCCTCCCCCCCCCCTGGGCCGCGCACGTGCTGCTGGCCATGATTTGCGCCCCCCTCTTTTGGACGCCCCCGTCTTGGCCGCCCCCGAGCTCTCTCGCAGGAGGGAGGAGCGGCCAGGAGCGGGAGCAGAGGCGGAGGGGGCGGAGGACGAGGAGGAGGGCTCGCTTCGATTCCTTCGACTCGATCCGGTTCGATTTACATGGCTTCCGATTCCGACTCGATTCGTTCTCGGATTCCGATTTGGGTTTTTCGATTTCTCCACGGAGGCCTGCTGGCCTGAGGACAATAAAGAGGACGGCCCTGGAGGGAAGTAGTCTGGACCTCCGGGGCCCACGCATCGAACAAATGGGAGCAGCAAGATGTCTGGGGAGCTCCACCTCTTCTTCGGCGCAAGGCGGCGGAAGGTCGGCGGAAGTAAAAGATGCGCCGCCAAGAGATGGCGACAGTCTTTGGGCTCAGGGTATCTGGAACCTGCCGGGTGTGGCAAGGAGGGAAGCTGGAGACAGGACCCCGCGCCTGGCAACTGGCGGCCCACAGTCTTGCCATCTCCTGGGACAGCGGGGAGGCCAGCCGACCTTAAGAGAGCAGGCGAGGGAGCGTCGATGAGGAGCACAGTGATGATATGCACATCATGGTAGTGGAAGGAAGAGCTGGAGCAGGGGGGGGGGTGGTGTATGAGGATAAAGGGGATCGCAGGAGGAAGAGGTGGAGGAGAGTGGCTGATAACGAGGAGGAGCTGGAAAACAAACATGACAAAGGAGGAGGAGGAGGACGAGGAGGGTGCATGCAAATGATGAAGAGCAGCACCATCTGCAGGAAGAACATTGGAATAGTGAGAAGGAGCATGAGCAGGGATGGGCAAATTTGGCCATTCAGCGGGGCCATCTCGTGCCAGAAGCCTATCCTCCCTGAGTCTCTTCGCCTCAATCTAACAACATCAGACAACGGCTGTGCCAATACTCAGGTCAATATGCCCCAACATTGCTGGAGCACTTGCTTCACGACTGATTCCTCAGTTGCACCCTGCCACAACATTTCTCTTTTGCGCAGCGCGATGTGTGACGCGCGATGTTAACCGAAGTTGTGGCGGAGGCGGCCGACTGACTTCGTGCGTGGGAGATGCGTGCGCCTGGTGTCGAGCTGCGGCTGCTGGCCCCAGACGCGCCCTATCGCCAAGGGCTGCAGTGAGCCTGCGTCTGTGCGACGCAGGTGACCAGCGCAACACGAGAGGAGGTCGCACGAATTGAGGTTGACGAGAAGCTGCCAGGTCTTCCGGCGTGTCAAACTGCGATGTGTTACATGTTTGTTCTTGGACGATCGACAGTCGCAGTGGGGCTGACGCGTTTTGGACGATCGACAGTCGCGATGCCAGCATCGTGAGAGCGTGTTGGCGAAGGAGAGGACAAGCAACCACAAGGAGGATAATTCTGAGAATCCCAAGCCGACCTGGTAGGAAAGTGCTGTGATTACGTCGTGTGAAGGCTTTGTCCTGCTTGTTTGGGTGCAGAGACGGCGAGACTCGCAGACTCGTATTTGCATGCGTCCCTGGCTCGGCTGCTGACAATCATGCGGGCGACGACACGATCCGATCGTGTCGATCTCTGTCTTGGTCTTGGCCTGCAGCCGGGCGTTCTGGTCAAGGGCAGCATCCACGAGGTGACGTGCCGTTTCGCGCTCGCTTCCTAGACCTGCCATGCGCGTTCGCCATCCAATGTTGAGCGTGTTGTTATTCACATGCTACATCAAGTTCGTATTCCTGATCCGTGCAAGGGTAGCCCTTCCAACCCTAGTCGTCGTGATGAGGTGGTGGATGTTGGCTTTATCATGCAAGTTGAGCCTCTCTGGCCTGTTGAGTTTTTGTGTGTGTGGGTCTCTGCGGTGGTGATTCCTTCTCCTGTCGGCAAAGCGTAAAACTCAAGTACGCGGGACATCGGGGGTTTGCCGACTCTTTTTGACGACCGCGTCTTGGGTTTTGACGGTCCAGTTTTCGTGGGGTGTCCGCAGCGGGAGTTCGCGTCAAGTGGCAGATCGGGCCTCGTCATTTTCATGATTGCCCCGTCAGGCCAGCTCGAGTCCCCCGTACCCGAGTCTTCGGTAGCAAATCATGGTAGCCGTGGGTCGACTAGCGTCGATTAGCGTTTGGGAGTCGATGAGATAGCGCCGATTTGGCGTCGGCTAGCGTCGATTAGCGTCGATTTAGTGTCGATTGGTGCCGACTAGCGTCGATTCGAGCCGATTCGCAAGAGCCGACAAGATTGTGTCTTCGGTCCATCTGGAAACCCCACAAAGTTGGGGATTAGTGTCGCCATGAGAGTGTTTTTGTTACCCTCTGGGCCAGAACGCGCGTTGTGCCCCCCACCCTCCCTCACCCCCCCACCCCCTAGAACATAACGCTCTCCCCTTCAGTGCGTCCCCGGCACTGCCACAGTGCGTCTGGCACCACAGTCGGGGGTGTGGGCGCTACGTTATGCCCCCTCCCGTCGCTCCCCCCTCAAGGTCCCTCCCCCCATAGCGCCCGTTATGGCCGCGGGAAAAGAAATGCGCTCGAGTTGGGGTCGCCGTACGCCTCGTTGTCGCCCTCGCGGGCACCGCGCTCAGGGCGCCGCCCTGTGCCCCGGGTCCCCGCGCGGCCCGCAGGGCCGCTTCGCCCAGCTGCTCGCGTGGAGCGCCGAGTGCGCTGGCAGCGAGCAAACTCCGGAGCCGCTGGACAGGTGCTGCGTCGGGGGAGGAGGAGGAGGAGGAGGAGGAGGAGGAGGAGGAGGAGGAGGAGGAGGAGGAGGAGGAGGAGGAGTTGAGACGGGGGTCAGTGCAAACGGGTCGAAGAAGAAAATACACCATAAACATGAGCTGTCGGCGCTCCGCGCGAATTTCGTGGACCTGCGCTGGACCCCTGTCAGCGCCTCTGGCGCCGCCCCTGGCGCGCTCCGCGGCATGCGCGCTCCGCGACATCCGCGCGCAGCGGGGGTCAGCCAGAGCGCCAGATCTCTTACAGGGTCCTGCAGAGCCAGGGGTGCATTGCCCGGGCTTCGGTGCAGGAGCCTGCGCAGCCCGACGGACCCGCGGATCTGGATTGTGACCCGGGTCAGGAGAGCCCCGATTGCGGCCCGTTCCTTCGGCGGTCCGTGGGGATCTCTTGGCCCGGTGCTGGGCCCCTTCCTGGCGGCGCCTATGGCGCCGCCCCTGGCGCTCTTCGCGCGCCAGGGAGGAGGGTTCAGCGGAGATTCAAGACATCTGCGCGGACGTCCGAACGTCTATATTCATGCAGATTATCAAGGATTCCTGGTAATGTGGAGACGTTGACTAGCCGGGCCCCCAAAGCCCAAAATATGCACCAGAATCGCTGCTCCATGTCTGCCGTAGCTCCTGTTTCTTCGGGTGGCAACAGTTCCCGTTAGTGGCATGGGCCAGAGGGGCTTCCCTCAGTACGGTCGGACGGACCGAGGTATAAGATCGAGGTCGGTTTGGTGAAGGTGCCCTTGTGTTCTTCGTGTTTGTTGGATGTTCTTGTGCATCCTGGAAGAGGGTACTCTCGAATGTTCTTCGGTTTGGCCGGCGGAGGGTCTCATGTTCTTGAAAGATGTGAGTATGTCTTAGGTCCGACCGTACACACCATTACACCAGGGGGTATCGATCTTGAGCTGCCGTTGTCCCCACTCGCCCTCCGGCGAGGGCGCGGGTTGGGTCGCTCGCCGTGCCTCCCCCCTTCTCCAGCCGTTCGGAGAAGGAGCAGCATAAGCCACATCAACGTAAACTGTCGGAGGTCCCCTGGGATTTCTTCGATCGGTGCTGGCTCCCCCCCCAAGCGGCGCCTTCGGCGCCGCCCCTTGTGCGCCGCTCTGCGAGGCAGGGATGTGGGATGTGGGGCCCAGCGCAGGTCCAAGAAGCCCGCTGGGACCCCCGACAGCTTATGCTTCTGCAGCTGTCGGTTCCTCTGTCCACCCCTTTCTCTCCCTCGCTCTCCTTCCCCTCCTTCCGTTCCCCTCCAGCCTTCGCCATCATTTTCCTTCGCTGCTGGCCGAACTTGTGCACGGGAAGCTGGTTAGCTCGGTTTGTGCACGGGAAGCTGGTTAGCTCGGTTTGTGCTATCGGTTCGCCGTGGGCACGGCGGTTCGTGTTCTTTCTTCTCCGCGCTTGCCCAGAGAGAAATCAATCCCTCCAGAGCCAATTCGGCTCGTACAAGTTTGTAGTTCGATCCGTCAGCCATCAAGAAGTTCGACGGCGTCATTTCTTGTCTTGCGAACTTCGGTGAGGCCTTCCAAACATGGCCTTGCCTTCGAGGACCGAAGGAATTGTCATCTCTTCCGCCGCGGAAGGCGGTGGAGGGGCGGCGCAAGGTCGGCGGAATTGAAACGAGGCTGCTTCCGACAGCGGAAGCCAGCGGAATGGCGGCGGAAGGTGGCGGAAGTAAAAATGCGCCCCCAAGAGGTGAACTCATTATTAGGTTAAGGTTTTCCTGAATCCACCAGATGGTGATGCTCAAAATGTCATGGACGACGAAGGTGGATATTTCAATAGACATGGTTCATGAAACCTCAACCGCAAGAGCGAGGATGCCGCAGTTGCTCATCCACAGGAGGAGCGTGACGGGAATTCAACTGCCGTTGCCACTGATCCTTCTATCTGAGATCGCACAGCATCCTCAACGCGTGTTGCCCCAAACAACGTCAAGCTTTGTTCCAGAGCCATGGCGTTTAACATTTCTATCACTATAACTGTATCGTAGTGATGAGGTCTCGTGGTCACGCAGCGAGCGAAACGTTAGTGACTATTGAAATGTGCAGAAAGGCCCGTATGCTGCATCAAGCTTATTCCCCATAACCGGCGCTTGCACTTAGGGGCTCCCACTTTGCTTGCTTACATGATTGGATGGGTCTCCCAGGTGATCGCTACGTTGGCACCTGTGCTCGTGAGCGCCTCGTGGGCCCCCCGTGCTCTGGGTGGCTGTCCACAACATTTCCGCCTTGGGCGCCCATTGCCCGCTCGTGGGCGCCATGCGCGCTGCGTGGGTGTCCCGAGGTCTCGCCGCACCTGCACCCGTGCCCGCTCGCGGGCTCCTCGCGGGCGCCCCACGCGCCCACAACATCGGTTGGCACGATATGGCTGGCACCACACTGTTTACACCATGTAGCTCACACGGCATAGATCACGCTGCATAGCTTACACAACACTGGTCACGCCACATAGCTTAATTCGCCGAGCCAGTATCTACTGGCCTTCTGCCCATGCCGTCATCGGCCATCGGCCCTCTTGCATTACTCTCGTGCGTTCTGAGAGCCCGTGCTGGTCCTTGGGGGTAACATTGGGGCTTGCAGGTTTCCGCATGCGCGCCGTGGGCGCCAGCCGATCGTTCCATGCGCCCGTTTTCTCTGGCTTGAGTTATCGCGCATGAAGCGCATGGGCTGCGAGCCACTGAACATGCTCAGCATGCAAGACGTCGGGCTCGCATGGGACGTTGCGCGCATCCGAGGCGTTGTCGGAGCCCTCTAATATTAACCCTGGTGCGGCTGGGCCCTCCATGGGCCTTGAAGCCCCCAGTGAGCCCAACGGGGCGCCCCTGGTGCAAGTTTGGGGTTTTCTCGGGGAGTCGATGGGGCCTTGGCGGGGGCTGTTTGGCGGAGTCCGCCTGCCTCCCAGGGCCATCTTGGGCTTCATGACCGAAGACGAGGAGGGGCGGTGCGAAATTACAGCCGCCCCCTCAGCGGTCGAAGAAACGCCCGTCAGGGGCTTTCTCGGCACGCTCTCGGGGCGTTTCTGCCCCCCCCCCCATCCCGCTCGAAGCGCCAGCAACAACGCCGAGCAATCATGCCAGGGGCCTCTTATGCATGTGGAAGGGTTGCTCGGAATTCTTGGCGCTTCGCGCATCCCCGCCGAGCCCCTCGAACGACGACGCCGAGGCGAGTTGAGGTCCTGAGGAAGGGAAACGGGGATCGACGGGGGCAATAGGTTTCGCTGAAAGGAGGATCAGGGGAGGGGGGCGGGATCAAAGGGAAGGACGGAGACTGCGCGGATAGTGATGCTGCTGATCACGGTGATAACGGGGATGATTGCGATGGCCGACAGGGCCGTGGTTGCGTGCAACGGCCCGCGAGCAGCGGATCATCAATTTGTTTTGTTGAGCCAATTTCGGGTCGATGATCTTCCAAGTTTCTGCCACCCTCCGTGCCGTCCTCTCTCGATTGTCCAGGGGTCCAGGGGGCGGGCGTTTTCCTGAGGTTGACTGCGGAGCGATGCGTGCCCAGGCGTGACCTGCCCCCCCGCGGTTCCCCGAGCGGAGCCGAAGTTTCGTCGCGCATGCCCCTGGCCTCCAGGACTTCTCTTGCAGCCCCCCCCCCGCTAGTGCGCGGCGTCCTCGTGGCCTTGTCCCGCCGTCATGGCGTCGCCTCGGCATCTGTCTGGGTGCTACCTTGGACCCCCAGGTCTTCGCTGCACCAACCAGGAAAACAACAGCACCTACTGCCATCAACCCTTTGCGGCAGCTAACCCCGACGCAGTCGAGAGCGACCGCAGACCCTTCGACAACGACGGCGACAACCGACAATTCCAAGCGATTCCGCGCGCCTCTCGAGTCTTCTCCAGTCCGCTCTTTCCAGTCACGGTCCACCCTGGCCCATCCCAGGCAGTTTAGAACAAAAGGGATGTTGCCATTATTTGGGTTGCAAATTGTTTGGGGTGGACTGGGGTAAATTGAAGGCGGGACTTCCATGGTTGAGGGCATCATAACGACGCGCCCCATCAGTGAAACACACGTTTCGTCGTGTCCTCTGGGGAGGGCGCTGCCTCTCGGAGTTGCCGTCGCAGTTTCTCAGCATTGAAAGGCGTCGTTGACGCCGGTTGGTGCTTGGTCGACCTTGGCGTTCCACAACTATTTCCGGGACCCAGCTTGCCCGCGAATCGTTGGCTGGTTCCGACGATGCCAAGGTCACTGAGGGTTGTCGAGCTGCCCCGCTTCTTGGAACAACTTCGGCGCCCAGGAGATCCAGGTTGCTGGCGCCGCAAGTGCGAGCGTGGCGTCGGACGGATTCTCAGGCGTTCCAGGGCCCGTCGCAGTTCGTGGGATTTTCTCGCCTGGGCCACGCGAAGGGAGCTTGGAGACCCGCGGCTCCTGAGCCATCCTTTTTTTCCTGGCTCCGACCCGCGCCGCCGACGCCCATCTCCCCCTCGCCCCGCAGCCCACCGGACGGGCACTTCGATCCCGGCCTGCGGAGATGCGCGAAGGCGCCGCCCGAGGCCAGAGCCAAGCGCTGGGCGTGCAATGAGCTCATCCGCCCAGGCAGCCACATGCTCATGCATCGGTTTCGGAGGTCGGACTCTTTGAGGCACGAGTCGTGTATGCACGGGCCCCCTGGTTGTATCAGTTGTTTTCGCCAGCGCCCACCAGGCCGGTCGACTTGGAGTTCCTATGGAATGAGCGAGTGAAGCCAGGTGTCGATGAGGCAACTGTTTTTTGAAGGCCATGGAGTCCGCTCTGACCGCTCTGGATCCTGCATCTGGGTCTGGGGTTGCCTAGAACCTGGGCGTCTGGGACGTCGGAGGGCTCGGCGAGACTGGCCCTCGCAGGGCTTCGCGCGCATCCTTGCCGCGGCGCCAGGCCCGCCGAACACGCGCGGAGCAAAACTGCACCAGCCATGGAACACAGTTTTGTTCCATGGAACAAAACGTTATTCCATGGAACATATATCTGTTCCATTGAAGAAAATTCTGCCGACGCGCAAAGTTGCAATGCAATCTGCGCTCGGTGGTTTCGACGTGCGGGTTTTGCTCCACGGTCGGGCCGTTTTGTTCCGCGGCGCGGAGATTTTGTTCCACCGCTCTCGCATGCGCCCCCCGCTCCTGGTGAGCCCGATGGCAGGCTGACTCGACTCGGCGAGTTTCGGGCGCCGTGATTTTTCGAGCGGGGGGCGTGCAGTCTCGGCGGGGTTTCACCATGCCAGCGTATTCCATTGATTTTGTCGTCTTCTCCCACCCAGGCTTTGAGCAACATGCGCCCGGGCAGCGATGAATATTTTGCGCATGGCCAAACATCGCCATTTGATGTATCAGCATGCGCACGAATACGTAACATGCCAGCGTTGTCACGTAGTAACAGGTCACAGAACGCGCGGCACTCTTAGCTCGCCACGTTTATCAGCAAGCATAGCAAGGGCAACACATGCAGAGGGCCACCATCAAATGGGGGAGGTCGTTTAAAAGAACGCGTCAGGAGTTCTAGGTTGGCAGGTGCTCGGGCACCCACGCGCGCTGCTCGCGGCCGCCGCGTCGCCGCAGGCCCAGGTCCAAAAGCCCAGGCGAACCTCGAGCCCAGTCCAGTTGGCGCCCGCTGCCCCATGGCGCCCAAGGCCCGCTCGTTCTCGCAATCCACGTCTCGAGCAACGGACCCAAAAGCTAGCGCTCGCCAACGTGGCCCTCAAAGCCGCGAGCGCGGGGCGCGCCAAGCGCGCGAGGCTTCTCAGGATAATGTTGAAAGTGCCTTCCAGGGTGATTGACGCAGCTCGCCGCGGGGATGACCTTCGCCAGGTCGCTGTCGCCCAGGTCGCGCAAGACCTTGGCGCCCAGCAGTCGGAGTGTTTCAGGTGTGGTCGCGCGCGCCTCGATTCTTTTTGATGGCATGGCCGACCGTGCCCGCGCCCGCGTCTCAGGCCGTTCCCGCGCTAGCCGGGAAGTCAGGATGCCGTTTCCAGCGCCCCCTTCCCTTCATTCCCACCCCGCTTCGCCTCGCCCCGCCCCCTGACTCCTTCATTCTTGGCGGCGGGCGTTCTGCAGCTGGCCAGAGCATGGGGCGCGCGCGCGGACTCGCCCCGGCGGCAGCTTGGATGGACAAGAAATCGCTGACGCGGCCCCCCTTTTAGCCCCTTGGCGTCATCATAGCAATCTTGCGCAGTGCCCCGTTGGGCCCCAGGCCCCGAGGTCGATGCCAGGTCCCAGCGGGGCCGCTCCGCAGAACGAAGTCAAGGAACGATGGCACCGACAGCATCGAAAAACTTGGGGCGATATTCAGACGAACCCAGACACATATTTTATGTGTCCTACAGGCTCTCATAGTCCAATGGGGTCTCTAAGTTGGGCTGTGGCAGATCCATGTGACCATGCGATGTTTCTTCGTGGCCTCTGGCGGCCTGCGGCTCCGCTCCATTGTTCCTACTGTTTTCGGGGGATCCGTGGGTTCGGACTGCGCGCAGCCATTTGGGCCAGGCAGGGCGCGCAACATGGATATGTGAGCCGCCATTGTGAGTTCACCGCATGGCGCCGAAGAGGGCTGGCCCCCAGGCCGAGCGCAGGGGGAAGCGCGGCAGGCCAGCCGCGCGTCAGCCATCGACCGGCCCGATCTGCGAGTGGATCGAGTTCGACCCATGCGCGCGCCAGTCCCGCGAGCAGTCCACCCATGAGGTCGACCGAGCAGTGCTGCGAGCAGTCCACTCTCCGACCGACAAGCTCCACTGGCTCGCGTGGAACAGGACGAGACCCGTCGACCCCCAGAAGCATCATGGACCTAGGATGCCGCGCGGGAACGAGTGCTACAAGTGTTACGACGCCCGCCGCAAATACTGGTGTTGCAGCAGGGATAAGCTGCTGGACATGCGCGGGGCGAAGGAGTCCGAATGCCATTTCGCGCAAAAGCGGCGCGGAGTCGCCCAGAAGGAAGCGGGGGAAAACCTCAAGGCGAAGCAGACGACCACAGCGCAGAAGGTGAAGGAGACATTCGGCGAGGACTTCGTCGAAGGGACGTTCGCTCCCCTCGAGAGGTTCGCCCGGTTGCGCAACATCCAGGGCGCGGACTCGACCGGGGAGCTCGCGGCGATGCTCGGGGACAAGTACCTTCACGTGGAGATTGTCACTGGCCAAGATGGCGTCACCCTGGGTGTCGAGACGATGGGCCGCGACGAGGGTGAGCGCAGGTTCCGACGGGGGAGGGCTCGCAAGGCGACGATCAACAAAGCTGACGAGTACGACGCCGGCAAGGGGGGCATGGCCAAGGAGCACTTCGTCAATCGGGAGGACAAGCTCATGGCGCAGGCGGCTTTCCCTGGCGCCAGCGCGCACCGTGGCCGCGCGGACCTGGGCGACGGCAGGTCGTCGTGTCCCGGCGGGGGGGCCTCGGGGGCTCAGGAGCCTGGCGGCCAGTTCTCAGGAGCTTCAGGGGCTGCGCCCATCACAGCGCCAGGTCTTGGCGCGGTGAGCTCGAGGGGGGGGCCACCGTCCATTGGCTCGGCGCCGAGGGGCCTTCGTCGGCACGGCGCTCGCGAGGACGGCGCAGACCAAGATGCCATCCCCGAAGACGGGCTCTTCGCAGCAAGACCGCGCCGCCGCGGCGACTCCGACTCCCGCGCCGAAGCAGAGACGCGGCAACCATACCGGGACGGAGACCAAGAGGAGGAGGGCGACCCCGAACGACCAAGTTGACCAGGCGGAGAGCTACCGTGATTTGATTATGGAGCAGTTCTCTTAGGGGAACCACTGCGTCGACGGAGTCAGGGCGAGGGATTTCGATGCAGTCGTGAAGAAGCTCCAGGGGTTCAGTCGCACATGCGGAAGGGTCGTCGTCAACGACAGGGCCACCAAAGTTTCCGCCAACCTCGCCGACCTTTTGGCGGCAAGTTCATCGATGGGTGCAGGAACGACACCGTGACCCTGCTGTCGGAGCCGCTGGATGACGCGAGCGCGAAGTTGCTGAAGTCCTGCGGACGCAAGCGGGCCCAGCCCAACGCAGCTCAGCCCAATTCCCCCCCAGCCCGCCCGACTTTGGCCGCAGTCCGCTCCATCCAACCCCAGGCGAACTTGGAAATCAACTCCATTTGTTTTCAAGCGGGGGTCGCCTTCTTATTCTGTTAGGCGCGGGTCGTTACGGAGTGCGTGCGCACGTTGGCCGCGCGCGTCGCGAAGAACTTGAAGTCCAAGTTCATGGTGGGCGCGTGGTTCGGGCGCATGGCGGTTTCGACCGGCGTCGACTTCATCACCCTCGTGGGGGATGAGTGCAAGGACAAACAATAAATGGACCTCAGCCTCTCCCCAGCCCGCGCGAAGTCCGGCCGGGAGAAGATTGCCATGCATTTGGGAGGTATCTTTCGGGGGGTGCAGGACACCGCGGCTATCGTGACCATCTCCGAGGGGATCAATGACATGTTGAAGTGCACCGGCGCAGACCTTGCACATTTGCGTCGCCAGCGGCGAAGTGTCGGCTGGAAAGGGCTCGTTCCACCAAGCATGGGTGGACTTGCAGTGCTTGCGGGCGCATGGGCTGGCATTCGCGAGGGGGGAGGGGGGTCGGGTCTCGTTGGCGACCGAGTGGGGCGGGAGGCGATGGTGGAGTTTTGCAGCCATTCCGAGAAGCCCTCCGCTCGCACGCAGAACGAGTTCCGCATCATCCAGGGTTCAACCTGGCAGCGCGGCAAGGCCGTTGCTGACGCAGCTCAGTTGTTCAAGTCGTCGTGCGCGCCAGAGCAGTCCGAGTGCGCGGTTGAGAAGCTGAACGCCATCCGGAGGATGATCGACATGGGGAGGTCAGCCACCTCAGGCGGGGCGCTGGTCGATGCTTGCCACGCCATGATCGACCTCATAGAGACCGACGTCAACGTGAAACGGTTCGGCGAAGTATTCGGCGATGCCCCAACCGTGGCCGATGCGTGCTTGCAAATGCCGCCGAGCCCAGACACCGCCTCCTGCGTCCTTAGCGCCCCCAACGAGGTGGCACCGAGCTTTGCTTGCGTCGTGCTCGACCTCACCAGGACTTGCTTGGAGCACGATGACAACTACTTCCAGGCGGCAGTGAATGCGCTACTGGCTGGCGACGCAGGAGCAGACGTGTTCCCAGCGCCGCCTGGAGAGGCGGCCAGAGAGGGCACGTCCGTCGTCTCGCCGATGGAGGCGTTGGACTGGCTGGACGGCGCTCTCCAGGTTGCGCGACCCTTCCTTCCCAATGGCATGTGGCTGTCGAAGGCAATAGGGCTGACCCAAGGCTTCATGGAGCTCTTCAAGCCGACGGACAACTTGCGCGACTTGGCCATGAACCTCGGCAACGCCACCCAGCGAACATTACAGGCGGCCGCGCAGAGGATCGACGACGGCGTCTCGGAGTGCAGGTTCTTGCAAGGTTTCTGCGACAAGGTCGTGGGCGCGCAGTGGAAGAAGTACACCGTCGACCTCATTCTCGATGAGATTCCAAAGCAGGAGGGCGTCAGGGGCCTCGACGTGCTGACGACTCAGCTGTCCAAATGCGAAATGTTCCTGTCTCCTGACGCCCAGGGCGTCGCCGAGGTCCTCAGGGCGCGGGGCGTCGCGAAGGATTTGGCTTCGCGGGCGGGCCAGGGCAAGACGCGCGGGCGCATCGAGCTGGCGCTCGCCATCGATGCCGCGGAGAAGGCGCTGACTGAGGAGCACGGCCCTGCAACTGCGAGCAGGATTGCGGACTTCAAGAACAGCTACGGCATCGCGAAGCAGTCCTGGGACGCGAGCCTCAGCGCCCCCCACGGCGACGCGACGCGCGCGAGCGCCTTCGCCAATATTTTCTTGGACGACAACAAGCGGGCGGAGGACGCCGTCGAGAAGTGGGAGTTCAACGACGCGCCGAAGCTTCGTGGCGACTCGGATGGGGGGCCCTGAGGACGAGGCCAAAGGCAGCTCATTGCAGAGATACATCGGGCAGCTCGACGCGTGGGGGTCTCAGGTGGTCGGCGCGAAGGGCTGCGCTGAGTGGGTGGGCGTCGCCCGCGCAGAAGGCCGAGCATGACGAGATGGAGTCGGCCATGAAGAGTCGGGGGGATGCCGTGGCGAGCGCCCGCGACGCGTTCGGGCCCATGGCTTTGACCTGTGCGATCAACGTGAAGGCGGACAACTCATCGCTCAAGAAAGTGCTGACTTATGTTCACGCGTCATTGTCGGTGCCGCCTGGGCGTTTCCCTCCGCGCAGCCTGCGATATATGCACCAAGACGGTGGGTTGCGGCGCCTCCCGGGCCACCGGGGCGCCCACGCTGCCCGAGCCCGAGACGACGGCGGTGCAGACAATGACGAAGTCGAAGCCCAAGTTCAGGACGGCCAGCAAGCATGCCGACGCCGCTGGCGGCGCATGAAGGCGTCGCGGCCGCGCGTCACGCCAGCGAGGCGGCCGGCGGCCGCTGCTGCCGGCGACGGCGAGATGGCCGAGTCGGCCGAGACGGCCGAGGCGGCCGAGGCCGAGGCGCCGCGGCGGCCGACGCGGGGTCCGCCTGAGATGAATTGCGGGGCGCGCGGGGCGCGCTCGCCGCGGGGCGCTCAGGATGCAGGCGCGACCCAGTTCCAGGGTCTTTGCAGATCGTATCGGGATATCTTTCGTCGTTGCCATCGTGGCCCCCCCTCCCGCATCCAGTGGCCCCTGCCCCCAGACAGCGCCTTCGGCCCTTCGCCCTGGCCAGACCCCCCATGCGCGGGCGGGGGGCGGGGGGGGGGGCATGGGGGAAGGGGGCGACGACATGCGGGGCGCAAGAAGGGAAGTCGGCAAAAAGGACGGAGGCACGAGGGCAAGAGGGCGCACGAGGAGATGGGGAATGGGGGGGGGGGCAAGGATCTAGGCACTTGTCGGCGTTGGCGTTCGAATTCTGGCTGGCGCCTGCCGCCCCCCCGTCGTCTGGGTCGGGCCCACCCTTTCCTCCTCCTTCTCCTCCTCCTCTTTATCATCCCCCTCCTCCTTCTCCTTCTCGTCCCATTCTTGCTCCTCCTCTTCCATCTCTTCCTCCACCGCCCCCTCCTCCCCCCCCTTCCTCCTCCCACTCCCCCCCCCCCCTCTCCTCCCACTCCTCCTCCTCATCTTCCTCCTCCTCCTCCTCCTCGTCTTCCCGCTCGCTTGCGTGCATCACGTCATGCGTTGCAGTCCGTGGGCTGACCTTTCTGTCGGCGCTCTTCGGGCGCCGCCCGGTGACCCGCCAACTGCCAGGGGCTCGGTTCGTCTGGGGCTGTTCCCTACCATTTCATATTTTACGAAGCATGTCTGAGTCTACAATTGCCCAGATGAAGCGACCTCGGGGCCGCGGCGGCTTCGCCGCCAGCGCGTGGCCCGAACCGTCTTGAACAGTCAACAATCATGGTTGCCTTCTCGCCGAGGCCATCGCGTGCGCCCCAGCGAGTGCTGTTGCAATGCTGATTGCGATTGTGTTCCAGTACCATCGGGGAAAAACAGCGCTTTGTCTGCGCTTTCCTTTCCGCGGGACCTACCGCGCCTGATACTTGTCATTTCCATTGGCGCAAGTATAATTACAGCCACGGGGGGGCCTATCGGGCCACTTCCGAGGGGCAGTCCTGCGCGTCGTCCGCGCCCTCATCCTCGTTCTCGCCCTTTCATTCGCCCCGGGGGCCCCCTGGCCGCGATCTCAGGGGGTTCGAAGTTTCCGGGCTGCGAGTCGCGCGTGCGGAACATATATAGGTGCGCCTCCACGCGAATTCTACATGCGTTTCGCGAATCCTTGTTTAACCGCCCGCGTAGTTTAGCTGTGTTCGCGCGCGATGCGGTCGACGTCTCCGTCTGCTTAGTTTTTCTATGCGGTGCGTCGCGCGCGCCGCGGCCTTGCGTAGTTAAGTTCGCGCGTGTTGTTGCGCGTGGCTACACGAGTTATACAGCGGAGTTTGCGTTCCCACATCACCGCGTCCCCGACTCGCCCTATTCGCCCCCTTCATCCGCGCGCCATCGGCGCGCCCCCTTCGGGTGCGCAGCGCGAGGCGCGCGTGATCATCGGCATTTGACGCTGCCCCGCTGTCCACGCTGCCGATTTTGATAGGCGGCCCTTGCCCTGCCTTCCTTGTATGCTTTGCGCGGAATTATCCGCGGTTGTTGCCCCCGCGAGTTGCGCGCCCCCCTCCCAGTGCCGGTCGGCCCGCGCGCCGCCGAGTGCGCCGCGCGTTTCGCGCTGCTCCGGCGCGCGCGACAATGGCGCCGAGCGCGTGGAATCCAAATTCGTTCGCGCTGGAATATGCAGCCCCAACCCCCAGCCCCATCTGTGGAGTCTTCTGCGGTGGCAGATCCAGCGTTGGCGTCAGTTGTGGCGTTTCGTTTGACTATCCTCGCGCAGTTTCCTAGTATTCTTAGTAGCTTATGCCTCATTGTTGCTGACTTGCCCCACCTCGCCCTCGCGCCCTGCGCGATGGCCAGCGCCGAGCTTGATGCCTGCCGGCAGCTCCTACATGGAGCGGCGGTGCCCTTGCGATGGCGGGCGCCCCAGTGCGCGTCGACTTTAGCCCAGGGCCTCTTGGCCCCTGCCATGGCCGACCGCAAACTGCTGAGCTCCGCGCCGATTTCAGCTCCAGGGGCGAGGGGGAGGGGCTGGCGCGGCTCCCCTTCCACTCGCCCCCCCTTCCTATTTAGTCCAGCCGAGACCCCTTCTTGCCCGCGTTTATCCGCGGCGTCCTCGACGGCCCGAGATCGCCAGGGAGCGTCGAGCAGCTCGGGCGCAGGAGCGTCGCCGCTCGGCGGCGCCCGGCGCGCAGCTGTCGCAGAAGTCCCGCCTCGGAGCAGCCGTCGCTGGCCTTGTCAGCCCCCCGCCCGCGACGCAGAGGTCTCGATTGTGATCGTTGTCTTTTTCGTTGTTTTGCCAGTCGGCGCGGGCCCTCGCGCCCCCCCCCCACCCCCCCGCGGGGTGGATCTTGGCCGCGTTCGGCGCCGGTTTCAAGCAGGCGGGGCCTTCGCCGTTGGGTGCGCCGCCGCAGGCAGTCGCGTTGCGCAGAGGTCTGGGGCCAGACCCGCCCCCTCCCGCGCAAAGCCGATACGCAGCGCCAGAGAACGCGCGCATTCTGGCTGGGGCGGGGGGGGGGCATGCCCGCGCGGCGCCCTGGCAGCGCAGCATTGCGGCATCGACCGGCTGCTTCGCCCGAACATTGGCGCTTGGAAGTATCGAGCTGTCTCGGCTTCGACCATATAGGCCCCGACCATCTGGGCGCTGACACTTCCGAGCTGCGCGATAAGCGCCTCGGCCCAGGGCCTTGCGCCCGCCCTGCCCGGTTGAAAATCCGGGCGCGCACCTTCGACCGACCCAAGTTGCGGCAGTCCCAGGGATTGCTCGCGAGAAAAGCCGCCTTGCATTTTGGGGTTCGCTCGTCGGCGGCCGCTGGCCCCCTGGCAGTTCGTCGCCGCGGAGTCCGCGGCGGTTGTCGCCAGGGCGGACGAGTCGAGTTTCAAGCGCGCGGCGCTGCTTGAAGTAACAAACGCCCGAACCTTGAACCGGCCGCGGCACCTCTGGAGTCAGGCGGTGCCGACGATTTCGATGGCGGCGCAGGCATGGCACAACATTTGCAATCAAAAACGGCGACGTATCTTTCCTGATCTGGGCGAGGGCGACGGGCCGACGGCAAATCGCGCGCGCGCGCCCCGATTTGTCCACTGCATGCTTTCGACCATTGCACAGGCGAGACGCATCGCGCATCTTTCGCCAGGAAACTGCAGATGCCAATGTCGACCGAGGCGTTGGAATTATGCCACAGTTGTTTTACCTGCGGCGCCTTCGACCGAGCGGGGTCAAAGTTCGGATCTTTCGTTGAAAGATTGGAGCCCCGATCCTTCCATGGTCTCCGTCTGCCTTGCGACCCGCGCCTCCCGTCGAGGCTGCGCGGGAATTCCTATAGCGCGGCAGACGGGTGCGTGGCCGGGATTATTGTTTTCGCGCTGGCGATGTTCACCGGCGCTTCTTGCGCCGCGTTTCGAGGCCAGTTGATTGCCTTTTTGGATGATTGCCCGCGAAGCGCATGGCATTGCCCTCCGTGGTTGCGCATTGGCCTGGCGGAGCGCGCCGTGGGACTTACGCGCGCCGCCCAAGTTTGAGGCGCCCATCCATCTGCGAGCCCGGTGGGCCAGGACATCCATTGAGGACGCATGGCGCCCCGTATGGGGTCATGCGGGGTGGATATGCAGAAGTTTTTTTTTGGGGCGTTGATGGGGGCGGTCGGGCGGGGGCCCGATGCGCCGACATGTCGGTGTCTGGGGGGGCGGCCAGGCCGGGGCCCCACCGCTCGATTTCTTCGTTTTCGACATCGCGGGGGTCATTTCGATGCCAGGGGCGGGGCCGGGCGGGAGCTCGACATTTCGATATTTCGTTATCGGGGTGCGGCCCCGGGGCGAGGCTCGATGCCCCCATGTCGCGGGTGGGGCTGCTATGATCGGCGTCGCGGCCTGCCGATTTCCACGAGTTGTCTGGCGCGCGCACTCGTCGAGATATCGAGACACGTTCCCGCCCCCGCCCCCGATGGCCCGTTTTCGATGGCCGCGCGGGCGGGGCGAGGGCGAGGGCAATGGACTGGCCCCCGCGTTGCAGGACCTCGCTAGCGACATCTCTCGCAACGCCGCGGCATTCCCATAGAGGGGGCGCGGCGGGGGAAAAAGCAGGAGCGGGCCAACAGAGTCGCTGGCATTCTCATGCTTGCCAAGGTCCCGATGCTCATGCCCGCCAAGGTCCCGATGCCAGAGCAGAGCTATACACATAGTTATAGGGTTTCCGGGGGGCGCTGTGACGCAGCACTCCTGGCTCAAAAGGGATCGCGGCTCCGCTGGGGGCGCCGCGCATGGTCGCGGCGCCCGTGGCCTGAGGATCCACGGGTTCTGCGTCGGGAGTGCCAACCCAGCGGCTGCGGG